ATTAATGTAAGGGAAGGGTGGTACTATGTCCTGAAAACAGCGCGAAAGGACATGGAGATTACTGGATTTCAAGTAGACAGAGTCTACCCAACCAGCATTCTGTTTGTTTCCATTCTAGAATGCTCCTTTCTGCACACTTGGAAAACTGCAGAATAGCTATTGCACCTTGGGAAAGGCGTAGTGGTGCATTTGGAGTCTAAACGTGTCCTGTGAGACCATCGGTGGCTTACATGACATCCTCAAAGCCATTTTGCACCTTAACTGCTCAGGCACAGCTGGTAGCAGTAAGGGATTCAGTGACAAATGAGGACAAAATTGCTGGGTGCCGAGTAAGGGTTAATTTCTAAACACAGTTTTACTGCCGTCTTGATTTTGAACAGCTTCTCTGTCTCATGGGTGACAAGCCACTTTGTCAGTTACCCTTTGGCTTTTTGCTAGCAATATCAATTTTAGACGTTTTAATTTTGTTTTATGAGGGTATTTCCCAAGGCTTTTTAATTAGTGGACATGGCCCCCCTGACCATCGTGCATCCAGACAGTGTCATTTTGAGACCTTCCTCACCCTGGAGTATCTCTGTGCTTTGAGGATTGGAAGTTATAATTGCCCTTCAGGTATAATTCCTCACTGAACGAACACACACACACACACACACACACACGCACACCTCTGAAAGAATATTAGCCTCTGATGCCTGAATTTGAAGAGAAGAATCTATATGTTACTAGTAACTGGAAATCATAGTTACTTGAAATACTTGGAATCACATTTATTCCTAAAAGAAGGTTGAACTGTGGTAAGAGGGAGAATGACTCTGCTGGGAAGATACTTTATATATTTCTATTTGCAATTAGTTTGTGGCATATATGCTTTGTGGGGAAGTGTTTTCTACTTCTGAGAACACATCACATCTGGTCTCAGGAAGGAGATCCATAACTCTAGTCTTACATGTCTTTAACACGGTGCCCACTGCTGCTACCAGCCTGCCTACCAATTCTCTTCAGTGTGGAAGGAAAGAAAGATCTGGAGCCAGAAAACATGTACTTGAACATCTTCTCCCTAGCAGTAGGGTAACTTTTTGTTGATCTCATATTTCTCATCTCCAAAAAAGAAGTTATTGACTGGGTGTGGTGGTACACGCCTTTAATTCCAGCACTTGGAAGGCAGAAGCAGGTAGATCTCTGTAAGTTTGATGCCAGCCTGGTCTACAAAGTGAGTTCTAGGCCAGCTGGGGCTACATAATGAGACTCTGTCTCAAAAAAAAAAAAAAACAAAACAAAAACAAGCAGAAATTAAAACACACACACACACACAAAAACAGAAGTTATTCAAGGATTAGCTATGATGTAATCATTTACAACAGGCTGCTTTACCACCAGCCAGCTGTGAGAACTTATATAAATTCTCTCAGCTAATCCTCCAACATCAGTTGAGTTCCTTTTCCAGTCTGGACTGAGAAGAGTCCCCCATACACAAAAGCCATCAGCAGTGCCACAGAGGAAGCAAGCTATTGGCTTAACCACAAAACACAGTTAAAAGTCAAGTGGACAAATACCCTTAATACAGAAAATTTGAAACTCAGATCTTTGTAGGAAAATAAGCAAAGCTAGGAATAAGTAATTCAGAGGAAAGAATATATAATAACCAAAAAACACTCAAATATTTATTCTCAAAGAAATATTTAAATCAAAGAAATTGAAATAGAGTTTATGGCTGCCTATCAAATGAAAAACAAAAACAGCAAGCGTTCCGTGTGAGTTAGAAAGCAGTGGAAACCTGCTTTACATTGCTGGTGGGCATGTGAACTGAAACAGCTTTTCTCTAGAGCAATGTAACAAGATGTGTCAAGAGCCCCCACAAATGTTCACACACAGCTAATCTGATGATTCCACTTCCAGGAACGTATCTCTGGAAAATCAGCAGACATTTGGGCAGGGATTTATGAAAAGATGTTATTTTTAATTTGACACAACCCAAATGGCTAACTGTAGAGAGAAACTCCATAGGGTGGGATGACAGGCAATCATTTTAAAGTGTGTTTTGAGGGGCCGGAGAAATGGCTTAGCGGTTAAGAGCACTGGCTGCTCTTGCAGAGGACCTGGCTTCAATTCCCATCACCCATGTGGTAGCTAAGAACTCCAGTTCCATGGGCTCCAAAGCCCTCTTCTGTCTTCCCTAGGCAATGCACAACATGGTGCACTTATATACATGCAGGCAGTGCACTCATACCCATAAAGTAAAAATAATAATTAAAATATTTTTAAAGAACATGGAGTATAGAAACTTCTCGAAGTATGCACAAAATAACTTTTTTTAAAAACTAGGAAGACATATATGACAGAATGCATGAAATCCGGTAAGGGGGGTTATGGTGGGTGTAGATGGGGGAGGGGCTATAAAGATGATTAAGATGTTTTGTATGAAATGCACAAAAATTCAATAAAAATATATATAAAACGAATACAACATTAAAAAATGTGTCATATTAAAAAAAACTAGAAAGAAATGTACTAAATGTTAGCAACGGTCTCTCTGTAAGTGGTGGAATTAGAGTTGACATGTATATTCTCTATACTTTTCTTGTTTTGTTCAGTGGAATCTGGAAAGGGAGACAGAGGAGGAGAGATTTTTAGCATGCTCTCCCCTAAATATTCCCACATATCTATAGCACTGTGTAGGCCAGGAAAAACAGATAGGGTATCAAGACAGCCACAGCAGGATTGCTGTGGTCTTTCATCAAAGCCTGTTTCAGATCCAGGCCAGTGTTGGACAACAAATTGTTGACCATTAATCATTAACACTCAAGTTATCGCCTGGTGTGCTGGATAGCTTTAATGTCAACTTGACACACCTGGGTTGAGGGAGCCTCAATTGGGGAATTGCCTTCATTGGACTGGCCTGTCTGTTCCTGCCCTGAGTTCCTACCTTGGGCTCCTTGATGAACTGTGCCCTGGGAGATATAAGACAAATAAACTCTTTCCTCCCCAAGTTGGTAGTGGTCAGGGTGTTTTGTCACAGCAATGGAGAAACAAACTAGGACACCTGGTTTTCTCTTTAGCTATTCAGTTCTACTTTGTGGCTTTCTGACCGTTGAGGACTTGGGAATTGAGGCTCAGGTTCACTTACTGTTGAGCTGAATTTGTGCTAAATACAGATATCAAAGGGTGTATTTCTGGTTGGACTGGACCATCACAAGTGCCATGCATGTTTGGGAGGATAGCTGGCTTTGATGGAGAGTCGGGCAATGCAGTTGTGGGTGGTCATTCCTCCTTCCCATTACAACCTCATGATCACTTTCTCAGAGCACAGTACTATGGTAGGCCAGTAAACAACTTGAAATCAGCATCATCTGTATTTTTTTTTTTAATAAAAGCCGGCTTTTACTTTGTGGCTGTAACACACACACACACACACACACACACACACACACAACTGTGCTACTACACAGTCCCTATGATTTAATGCCAAAATGGAAGACTGTCCACATATCATTACAAAGGATGAAAGTTAAGAGAATGCTTATGGTATCCAAAGATTAAAAAGAAGAGAAGAGAGAAGAGGTAAGCTCCTTTAAACTACAAGTTTTCAAACTTTCTAAAACTAAGTATATGGATCTAACACCCAGGACTATATATTTTTCAAAACCCTGGGGCACTCTAGCATTGCCTGTTGAAGCCAGTGCTTGGGAACCACTGAACTAGCTATACCATGCTGTCATATTTTATTATATCATCCAATATGATATCACTGGTCCCCAGTGGCTTCTGAGCTCTTAAAATGAGGCCAGATTGACTGAAGAACTGAATTTTAATTTTAATTAATTAATTATTAGATTAAAATGTAGATGGCCACATATGACTTACAAGTACAGTATGAGTCAGAGCAGCCCTAACCCGCTGCATCCTGGTGATGAAGTAAGTCATCTGTCAGCTGGTCCTTCCAACAGGCTGGACATTTTATATTTTTGACCCTGGGGTACACAAATATGGCTCCAGAACCTTCTGCTGGGAGCATGCTGACACCACCAATTCTATAATCCCCAGTGGTGGTGGTGGTGGGAGAAGGGGGTGCTTATAATTATTCAGTGATATTCTTAACAACCTGTTCAAAATGGCTTGTAACCTTTTCATCCACAAAACAGAAACCGAAAAATCTTCTCAACCCAGGATTTCTCACTGTTTTTTTGTTTGTTTGTTTGTTTCTGCTGGGAGCATGCTGACACCACCAATTCTATAATCCCCAGTGGTGGTGGTGGTGGGAGAAGGGGGTGCTTATAATTATTCAGTGATATTCTTAACAACCTGTTCAAAATGGCTTGTAACCTTTTCATCCACAAAACAGAAACCGAAAAATCTTCTCAACCCAGGATTTCTCACTGTTTTTTTGTTTGTTTGTTTGTTTTCTCTCCTATTCTAAAGCTACTGACGGGGGCAAACTTTGACAGAAGCAGTAACTCAGCAAGACTGTAAGCCCAATGCAGGCAGGTGTAGTGTCTGCCTTGTCCTATGCTCTGTACCAGGCCAAGCTGTGGTATCAGCAGAATCACAGAGGCCAGTGTATGTGACTGAATGAGCCAGTGTTCTTGCCACTGAGGGTGTATGCTGAAGAGACATGCAAGGGTGAGAAGATCTGGGGAAAAGCCATATTTGGGCCCAAAGTGATTGAATTTAGGAGAAAGTGTTGACCCTCCATGATTTTACCCAAACATATCTAGCGGGTGAGAAGTACAATTGTGTCAAATCTCATTCGGTCCAGTGAAGGTTGGTTCATACCACCACCATAATTATGTACATTAAAGATCAAAAGGGTTCCAAAGAACTGAAAGTGGAGCCAGAGAGGCCGGCTTAATTTCAGCTTTTAATAATCCGAAGGTCCCTGGGCTACAGCCCATTTGTTTATTTTTCATCTAATGTTTCTTTCTAAGAAACTTAGCAAGCTAGATGGCCTATGGTTGTGATGTATCTGCCCACTGACTGGCAATTTAATTTTCTTGAAATTTTAGGCACAGAAAAATGAGAGAGAGTCTATCAGACAGAAGTTGGCACTTGGAAGCTTCTTTGATGATGGCCCAGGAATCTATACCAGCTGTAGCAAAAGTGGGAAGCCAAGCCTTTCCTCACGGTAAGTGTGCTTTGGAGTTGATTTTCTGATATATACCTAGTGGTGCCTGTGTGTCTAATAAAAGACAACAGTATATCCTTGAGTAGTCATCTTTCAGAGTTTTGGACAGACCCGTCCCCGTTGTGTATTGACTTATTTTCACTGTTGTGGCCTGTTGCCCAGCTACTCAGGATCAGATTTTATATTTCATTTTTCCTTAGGCAGAATACTTATTTTTGCACACTGATGGTGAATAAGGCCACATGCCTCTGATGTTTTATTTTTTTAAATATCTTATTATTTTTATTTTGTGTGTATGAGTATATTGCCTGTATGGGTATAAGTGCACCCCATGTTGTACAATACCTGAGGAGGTCAGAAGAGGGTGTCAGATTCCCCTGAAACTGGAGTTACATATGGCTGTTAGCTGCCAGTCAGTGCTGGGACTCAAACCCCAGTCCTCTGTGAGAGCAGTCAGTGCTCTTAACCGCTGAGCCATCTCTCCAGTCCCCTGACTAATGTTTTATACGTGTGGCAGACCACCATATTTCCCATGAAGTGGTCCCAGAGCACCCAGAATCACCCCTTAATACATTTGATTACAGTGAATGCCAGTACCTGAGAAATATAATCCCACTTTGATCATTTAATGTTTATTACTGTTCTTAACCGGTTCACCAGGTGGCTTATCTTTTTTTAAATGTTTTATTATTTTTATTTTATGTGTATGAGTGTATTGCCTGCATCTATGTAAGTGTACCCAAGTCATGCAATGCCTGTGGAGGTCAGAAGAGGGCATTGGATGCCCTGGAACTGGAGTTATGAATGGTTAGCTGCCATGTGGGTACTGGGACCCAAACCCAAGTCCTCTGCAAGAGCAGCCAGTGCTCTTAACAGCTGAGCCATTTCTCCAGCCCCCCAGGTGGTTTATCTTTGTCTTTATTTCAGGATATCATTACTCATTTATTATCATTTCTTTCAATTATTGTAATTAGTATAGCTTTTCATTCCAAATAAATATGTTAAGGTTATAATTTTGCTAGAAAAGCAGGAAAAACATCTCAATCTTCAGTGTACTTATGAGTCACGTGGGTAGTCTGTTACGATGAAGATTCTGATTCAGTGTGTCTTTGCTGGACTGGAGAGTCCACGTGGAAGACTCTCCTCTCACAGCCAGTGGTCATGCTGCCCTTCATTGGGCCACTTTGATTAACGAGAGTATAGACAGTTACACATACAGGTGTTCCAAGTAATGAAAGTATGTGGAACATTGTTTTCATGAAAATAGTAACTGCAGCCCCGTCAGCATTCCTTGATCCCCTCTACCCCACCTTTATGTCTACTTCTTCCATCCTTTGAACTAAAAGTAAATATATCCTCTGTAAATACTACATTCATTAACTGTTAAATCCAGTGCTGGAAGCAAATGATAATGTCTGTGCATTAATTCAACCAGCAAATACACTTTATCTCTGCTTCCTTTGAGGTCCAGAATTAGGCAGCCTACTATCTACCTAATCCTGTTCTGTCTGATTTTAATAAGCCTTGTCTGGTCCTTAGAGATTCCTATAAATCAGCAGAAGTCAGAGAGTAGACACAGATCTACATAGGTGCCTTTTTCAAGGCAGTGTAGGCGAGTTGGTGCGGCATGATGAGAGCTATAGTTTGGTCTGACAGTGTTAAGGTGTCTCTTCCCCAGCTGGGTGCCAACCTCATCTCACAGTATTCCCTTCAGGAGCTAGGTTAGTCTGCCTGTGGGCCTTCTTCTCCCAGAGAGCTGTGACAGCAATGGCCAAGGGATCTGGAGACCTGCAAAGTTCTTGTTATGTGCTTTGCATTACGAGACTAACAAGTCATTTCATTTTACTCATTTGTTTTGATTCTTTGAGAATTTCATACAGTATATTTTGATCCTATTCAACCACCCCCATCTCCTCTCAGATGTCTCAGATCTGCCCACACTTCCCTACTCCCTACCCCACTTTGAGTCCTCTATATATATATTATTTTTTTTTGGTCTTTTTGAGACAGGGTCTCCCTGTAGCCTCAGCTCTCCTGGAACTCACTATATAGACCAGACTGGCCTCGAACTCACAAAGATCCACCTGCCTCTGCCTCCCAAGTGCTGGGATTAAAGGCGTGTGCCACCACACCGGCATCTCTATTTTTTAAGTGAATCAAGTCCAATTTTATGTTCCCCAAATACTCTTGGGTGATTACTGCTCATTTTCCTGATTGCGATGTGAAGAGATTGTACCATTGTGCATGGCCTTACAGATCTTTACTTTTACTTTCTGGTATACCTGCAAAGTACAACATGCCTTATCTAGAAGCCCCATCTGTCTGCTCTGCAATGTCTGTCCATCTGGTACAAATGGGAAGGCTTTGTTTTTAAAATTAAATATTTATTCATAATAGACGTACTTAATGAATTTGTGACAGGATATATATTTTAATATAGCATATTTATATATTAATCAAACATAATATATTTATGTATCCATGAAGGTGGCAGTAACTACATTCAGCCTTTCTTGACCCTCCCCCATTGACTGTCCCCTGATGTATTATGATATATATTCCTGCACATTTCCACATCTTGTTTGACTCTGCAGAAGCAGTAACTCCTTAGATGCTGCTTCCAGCATTTACCTACATACTTCTAAATAAAATGCTTATGTTCTATGTTCTTGGGTTTTATTTTAAATAACTATCTATTGGGTGTCTACTATAAAAAATAGGGATTTATCTTTATCACATCTTGACTGCAAATGTACCTCCACATTCTCCCCTCCACTCTCCCTTCATTTCATCCCAATGAGGTTCAAATAACTATCTAAGGTTTGCATTATAGTATTAGTATATAGTATTTAGTATTTAGTATATAGTATTTAGTATTCGTATATAGTATTTCTCCTGAATTGTGTAGCTTGTTATAATTATTTGAGAAAAGTTCTTGTTCATCTTAAAATTAGAACTGAGTCTTTTGTTCCCTTTGCCATACATGGTTGAATGTCACATTTACTCCACTAAGTGACTATATTAGTTTATTTAGCCTGATGATGATGGGCATTGGGCTGTTTTGAAATGTTCACTGTTATCAGAATTGTTGTTTATAAACATTCTTGTACACATCTCCAGTACATGTAGAAGAGTTTCTCTTTGGGGTATACATGGGAGTAGTCTTACAAGGAAAATACATGAATGTTCACACTGACAAGATAATGCCAATTATTTTCCAACATGGTAGCACTTGATACCACCTTTTAAAATCTGTTAACTGGGGGGTGGAGCGATGGCTCAGCAGTTAAGGCTGCTCTTTCAGAGGACCTGGGTTCAGTTCCCAGCACCCACATGATGGCTAACAACCATCCATAACTCCAGTTCCAGGGGATCCAACACCCTCTTCTGACCTTTGCAGGCATTGCACAGCAAAGGTGTACTTACACACCTCTGCTGAGGCAATACACTCATACACACAAAATAAAAATAATAAATAAAACATTTTAAAAATTGTTAACTAGGTATATGGTGTTATATAATTGTGATATATAATAGTTTTCTTTTTTTTTTGAAATGCTTGTTGATGTCTAGTTCCAAATTTCTGCATTTAAAAAAAATGTGTGTGCTTTTCCTTATCAAGTTTATTTCATCATAATACTAATCTGTAATACTAATCTTTAATACACATTGCAAATATCTTTCCCCAGTTTGTAACTTGTTCTTACTTTTTAATGTGTTTTATGACCTTAAGTCTTGGTTTTAATACAGTTTCTTCAGACTTTTCTGATCAGTGTTATCTATAGTCTTGTATGAGAAATCTTCTGCAGCTTGCCTGTGGTCCTAGCTCTTGGGAGGTATAGGCAGAAGATCAGGAGCTCAAGGCCAACCCTGGCTATGTAAGAGCCTGCCTCATAAAGCAAAAAAACAAAGAAAGAAATCTTCCTCTATCCCAAGATCCACCAGATATTTACTAATCCTACAAGAGTTGAAGATACTGGTTTCTTAGAAGTCTGTAATCAGTCAGGAGTTGATTTCTTTATATGATATGGAAGAGAAGTCTAATTTCTTATTTTTCCTTTCAGTAACCGGTTTATTCTGCTTACTGAACAACCCCTCCTTCCCTCACTGATCTGACAGACATCCTCTGCTTGTCCACACCCTGTACTGCTACATTTCTGGGAACGCATCTGTTTCATTTGTTGCTGTTCCTACCTTTGCTCCCAAACTAGAATCTTTATTCCGGGTAGGCAAGCCTCTCTTAATTTTTTAATCAGAAAAAAAAGAAAATTAATATTTTTAATAAAATAATTTTTTAATTCTTCCATATAAATTTTAAATCATCTAATCAAGTTCAGCAAAATACTTCCTTGGATTTTTTTTTTAGATTCTCATTGAATCTATAGGTCACTTTATGAAGAATAAACATTTCTGCAGTATTCAATCTTCCTACCCATGAACCTGGTCTCTCTTTCCATTTATTAATATCTTTTTGATAATAAGGATTTATATTCCATTTAGAGATATTACACATCTTTTGTTTTATTTATTTTAGATGCTTGCTGTTCTGATACCTTAAATTCTCTTTAGTCAAGCTTTCTCATCACTTACTGCTGGTGAAGGGGAATGCAGCCAGCCTCTCATGCTAGTTTCTACCCTATCCTGTATGGTGACCTTGTACCCACTTTATTATTACTAATATTACTTCTGTTATTTCTTACAAAGTTATTTGTAGGTTACCAATAATTCTTTGGGGCTTTTTAAACAATAATATCTTCTACAAGAAAACACTGTGATTTCTCTCTTTCCAGTTCTGTACTTAGTCTTTCTGTGTCTGTTATGCAGTATGCAGGTATTCTAATAGCGAGGGTTAGAAATAGTGGTAGTTAATATCCGTAGATCGTGTCCCATGTTAATGGTGTCCTTCTAGTGTTTCCCCACTTAGAGTGATGACAACTTTATATCTTATTATCTTTCCTCGGATTGTTATATTTGTATTCATGATTAACAAAGGTCTTTTG